CCATCCAACTCTGAAATGAAGTACGACAATCAAAACTGGGTCAATAAATGGAAATATGATAGTTATTTTATCATTCGATCACCGAGTTTGTTTTTTTAATTAAGGTTTACACTCGAAGCTATATATATCAACTCATGAATTGGAAGCGATCTTCCATTTTCACGAAAAAGCGAAGGTAGCATTGGCTAAACGCATGGTTTCATTTATACATGAGCAGAATATTATTTGCAGTCAATCTCAGTTGGACGGGATTGCGCATGAGTAGACCATTACGTGGGGAAACAAGAGATCATAATAGGACAGGATTTGCAGATCACATGGTGGGCTCTCGGCCAATAAAAAGGAAGAAAAATTTGCATCGAATGATAATAATAATTACTTGGCAGAATTACATTTTGGCATTTTTTTCCTTACTGGATTCGGGAGTATATCCGTCTAAGGGAAAAATACACACATACCACAAAGATATCTTCGTGTAGACCATCATAATTTTGTAGTTCTCGAAGACAAATGTAGAAGGAGGAACTGGTTGCATTCTCCACCCACAAACTTGCGGCATCGTGTTTAAAGGCTGCACTGATATGTTCTGCTGTAACCAGAACTGTTGGTGTACCGACAAATTTTCCCTGTTAAACAACCATCGATTACAGGTAGAGTTTAGTGAGCATAACAATGAAGGATGGTTGAGAGCAAGAGTCTAACAGCACATTATCTGTTACGACAACTGTTTCCGGCACAGAATCAAGGATGCCTAACGCATTGATTTGGTTATTTCCCTGAACCTAATACTTTATACCGAATAAGGTGTTTCTCCAATTCTTAATTACTATTGCTTTTTCCTAGAATATTTTTCTTCTTCTGACTCATTTTTGTAAAAGCCAATGACAATGGATTTTTATGATAAGGAAATATGAGACCATACAAAGGTCGAAAAAAGTGAATCCATCTCACTCGAAACATTTGCAAAATATTGTTGTGAAGTATTTTGAAAGTTATTTTTAAGACAGATCTATCTCAACTTTTGAGTTTAGTTTTTGTTTCATAAAGTCTTGTTTTTGTCCACGTATTGTTTTCCTGTTTCGATGTTTTGTTTTTACTTGTATTTGAAGTTTTGCTTAGCTCGCGAATTTATTTATTACCATATTAGGAATGTTACAGGTGGTCGTGTTTGTGGTGTTAGAGCTGACCTTGGTTCTTTGGTATATTCCCTAACAATAGCAAACCTGTTGCAGTATTAGCGATAAGAAATACAATAGAAACTCTTCCGGCCAGCTAACCTAAACACGTCCAGCTTTGGCTATTAAAACCGCTACTATGCTTGAACTAGTTAATAGAGAAGAGTAGGAAAAGTAGAGTAGAAGTAGAGTAAGCAGAAGTTGTAAGAAGGATAAGAAGATTAAAGGCCAAGATGTAAATCAGATTCCTGGTACCTCGTCGTGTAGCGAGCGAGTTGCTCGAATACAACCCCACATATTTTGGTGGAGAACCCGTTATTTTGGTGGAGAACTCGATATTTTGGTGAAGAAGCTGATATTTTGGTGGCGAACTCGTTATTTTGGTGAAGAGTACAAGATCAGCTCCTGGAAATCTGTGAGTGCTAAGAACTTTACCATTGCAAGCAACTGAGAACTCTTTTCCAAGTTTAGTCATATGTAGAATAAGAGTTATATTTAAAACAAAATAATGCCACAGTCTCGTTTTTAAGTAATGAATAGGCCTGTTGTTGAGTTTCCACTTTTTTATGGCGACGAGAGAGAAGATGTTCGTGAGTTTCTTGTCAATTATAGACGCGCCGGTTTGTTAAATGGTTGGAACGAAGAAAAATTAGCTCTTGGTCTTCCCCTTTTTCTAAAAAAACACGCTAGCGTGTGGTTTAAAACTTTAACAGAAGCCGATGAAAATGATTCGTTTCAAGTTTTGTCACAAAAATTAATTTCTCATTTTGAATCAAAAGTAATTCTATGGCAGTTGAGGCAAAAATTAGAAGAACGTCGTCAGTTGTTAGGGGAGACTGTTGCCGATTATTATTACGATATTCTTTCATTCTGCTGTCGTCTAAATTTACCTAAAAGTGAATGGCTTTATTGTTTTGTACGTGGTTTAAGGCCTGGAATACGTGAACATGTTATTTTACAACAACCGCCTGATTTCGAGTCTGCATTGAACATTGCAAAACTAAAAGAGTTAGTAACTCTTAGCCGTAAATCGAATAATGGTCAAGAAGTCGAGAATTTTAAAGAAATACAGTCTAACCCCTCAGAAGAGGAAATCAAAGAATCTGTCAGGGACGAATTTAATGTCTGGAATACAGATTTCCAAATAATGGAAATCGTCATATTAATCGTAAATTTCGATCAGGCAAACTTAATCGTTTTCGTTGTGGGGGCAGCGTTTTCAGAAAGAATCCTAAATTGGGCAGTTATGGAAGTTCGAAACCCAACTTTAGAGGCCTGTATCGGAGAAACAATATGCAGAATGCTTTTCACCAGGGAGAAATGGGCGCTCAGTTAAACTGGTTGGCGCCCCTATCGTGTGTGGTAGGGAGCCGTGATGGGGGCGCTTGAAAATTCTACAAGTAATGACCATTCTTCCGTCGGATCTAGTTCTGATAAATGTGCTTTCAGTAACTCTGGAAGTTCGACCGAGAATGTTACTAAAAAGAATGTTCAAGAGTTTAGTCATGTTGTCTCTAATCCCTGTGAGCCTATTTTTACGCCAAATCTAAAATGTTTAAACCTCAAGTTTCCGTCACATGTCAACATGAGTGTTCTCAAGATTGCCAACCTCAAGATGTCCCTAATGAAAATATTATGTTTGGAGTTGTTAAGTGCATTTCTCAAGTCATAACGAAATTTGATAGTGTATTCGCCGGGTCATCCCCAAATGAAAACGAAAATGTTCATTCGCCAAATGTACCTATGTTTTCTCCTAAACGTGAAGTCATTTATGACAAGTCTTCAAGTGAAAATTTATCTCGAAAAGTCACTATAGAAGAAATTAAAAAAGAAGAACAGTTGGCGCCTGAGTCTAAAAATGAAGAAAATTTGGAAGTAAATATCGTTGGGGCTAAAAATAATATTTGTAGCCCAGAGACAAGGACATATGTGACTGACGTGACTGACAGGGTCTCTTTGCCTGCCACATCCAGTAAAATTGATTCTATTCATCCTTTCCAGAGGGACAATTTTAATGTAAGTGTAACAATAAAAGGAAATAGTTATCGTGCACTCCTTGACACAGGAGCAGCGGTAACAGCAATTAGTTCTCAAGTTTGGGACAAGTATCTTAGTCACAAAAATTGTTGTTTAGATTCCTCGTCGACCAGTTGTGTAACGACTATAAGTGGTTCTCCTCTTAGCGTTCTTGGTAAAGTATGGCTCAATTTTGTTATTAAGTCTGATGTTTTTCCTTTTGAAGCCTATGTTATCAAAGATTTAACTCATGACGTTGTTTTGGGCAGAGATTTTCTTCAAAA